TCCTAGCATCGTTGGATCGATTTAAGAGCCTCAAATCGCGAACAGTCGGGTTGTGAGTGCAGACCCAAGGTAAAAACGTGTCGGTAATTAACGCACTGACAAATAGTATGATCTGCACAACAATACAATATGCCGGCTCAGTTGTCTATGAATATCCATGAAAGACCAGAAAAACTTGTGCAATTTTGATTTTCTGATTGAATGATCTGATAAAACTGAACATGCGATTCGCTCTTCATTTTCCGAATCACCGGATCCGACATGCTCCTTTTTCCTATAAATCGCAAATTTTATAGTCGTAAACACAGATCTGTGAATGGATTTGGGGCTTGATGGATACTCAGAGGTGTGTATTTCATCTAATTCAATTATACGATGAGTTTACCCCTGAAACTAAGAGCGCAAATAATCGAGATAAAAGAATAAAACAATTTCGAGATTTTCATCTGAGATGGCTTATCAAATTTTTCTATTAATGAGATTTCTTGAGTTCCGATTTGAACCTAAATGGGGAATCTCAAACGTGCAGTGAGCAGCAGGATAAAATATTTGAGCACGATATAGAATGACCGAAGTGGACACGTTGTTTAGGATGTGTTGTATTTGGGGGGAATTGTGTAAGAAAGCGTCATCCGAGAGGATAGTATTGTGTGAATTTCTGTGAAAGGTGAATTAGTTTGCATAAATACATTCCGGCGATTTGAAATAGATTCCACCAATATAGCTTTGATGGATAGGGTTAAAGCTCAACAAGTTTCACTTCTTTGCTCAACAAAAATTACTGTAAAGGGGAGGACAGAAGAACCTGAGTCACAACACAAGAATGCACTCAGCGGTTAAAGATCACAAGCGGGAGATGAATAAACACAAATTTAAACATTTATTTTCCAAGGTAAACGTTAAGAGAGAGAGGGAGAGAGTGAAATCTGCCCTGGGCATAAATCGTGCAACGTAGCTTATTTGTACCCTCTCTCTCTCTCTCTGCACAAGAATAAACGCAAATGCCAGAGATGTTCTGGTAAAGACAAGCTTAGATCTTTTGTACTGTAAACTCCAATACATTTTACACGATGTTCCGTTGGAATAATTTGATCGTGACTGTAAACTTCACCATCATTGATTTGGAGAAAATGAGGATATTCCTCTTTGGTGTATGTGTATGTGTGTGTGTGTGTGTGCGTTTGTATGTGTGTATGAAGGATAGAGAGACGGTTGTGTTGTGATACTTGGAGTGATTTCCGGATAAATAGAGATTTGAAAACCGTGTGAGAATACAAACAAAGTGAGTCTGGAGTTGCGAAAAAAGGAAAATCAACGTGAAACTCGGAAGTCAGAGTAGATTGTCAGTGTGCACGTGATGAGAGGCCTTGTGGTGATCGCGTAACAAGTACGCCTGCACCACGGTACAGCTTCCAGGTAACCAATCAAGAAACGGAATAACCAACCAATCCTGTGATCTCAATTAGCACCAATCGGATTGACTGAATACAAGAAGGCAAACAAATAAACCATATCTTTGTTGATTGAACATTGAAGAATCGACCAATGATCGTTTGATGCTTGTGACATATATATTTGCATGATTTTCTGAATAGATTTAACTGTATCCTTAGCTCGTCTTGGTTCTACCTGACTTTGCGCTACTCAATGGGTTTTCAGTCCGAATCCGAGTTCGCACTGTTCGATTCTGATGCCTTTTCCGAATACTACAGGTCTTTAAGACTTTGCGAGTGGGAATGATGAATGAACGGGGAAAGTATTGCATTTAGAGCACTCCGAAATCTTACTGAAGCCAATGAGCAGTGTGCCGCAGGAACAAGCCGTGAACAGACCGATGTCGATGAGATAATTTTTAAGTAGAGAAGGATGAGGCAATCACGATTGTGCATTACGTAACTTAGAATAAAGTCTGTCATTGTCGACACTGATAAACACACTGTTGTGGTCCGACAAGCGTGTATGGAATATGTACGCAGCAAATGAAGTGTGAACTGAAAAGGAGGCACATTGTACGGTTGTTTCGACTTGGTTGGGTCTCATCATCAGCATAGCGCGAATCCATCGTTCCAAGTGCTCTGTACAAGACGAAATTGGCCGTGTGATCATACCAATTCTTCCAGTACTCATATTGAATATGTGGACAAATGTAATTTGTTTACCTAAACATAGTAGTGCAAAGTTAGAAAAGTGCCCAATGACACCTGAGGTAGAACGCTATTTACTGCTATCTCTAAGTCAAGGATCTGTAATTACATATAACACAAAGCAGTGATCTGCTTCTAGTATGCGCAAACCAAAATGATTGAAGTCACATCAACCTCAAGTGTTGATCAATTATTGATGCTACTCGATCTAGTTTTATCTGTCTCCCAAACACTTTGGATCCAGATCTCCGATGGACTGGCACACGTGCACTACTAACACAAGTTAAGCTGGACTCTAGTGCGTCTCCAGTTGACTGAACAAACCAAGGATAATAAATGGAGACAAAGTTTGAAAATGTGGCACTCTTGATTAGCTTCATTTTACCTGTCCTGAATCACAAATGAATGCAAAGTGAAGATATCTGACTGTTTGGATTTGTAACACTAAGTTTGTTGTCACGGTTTATCTTGTTGTACCAATATGCATGGGAGATTTTGTCCAGTCATTCATATACTATTTGTTATACATTACACTGAAAATTGACCCTGGTGTCAAATTTGCTGAAGTTAGAGGAAAATTAATATAGAGTAATTTAGGCGATATCTCTAGGAGGGCTTACCTCGAATCGACTGCATGACGTGCAAATGCTTAATGTATACCGGTTTCTCTGTCCTCATCATTTTTTAAGAGAACTTGAACAAATTCATGCAAACAGCTCCCATTTCTGATCAGAATGACAAACCATCGGGGTCGGACCATTTTTCTACCGAACACTGTTGCGACACAATCCATTCAGGGCACCGAGCTTGGTCTATGGAATATCCTCATGCTGACCTTGTGCTTCTATCATATCAACATTTCTAAATGAAAATTTCACTTCACGTATTCACTTCACCGTTTCAATCAACCTCAGTTCAAACAAGATAAATCGATGCAAGGGGCTAGCTTGATTTTTCAAAATAAAAGCATCAGAGATAATTTGTTCACCTAGGAAAATAACATGGCTTTAAACAAGTCTGCTCTTCATACCTAATAAATTCTATCGAGCAGTTTGCCTGAATCAATCTACTCACAGCTTTGCAGTTTGGAAGCTGCGCTTATCATTTGTTTTTTTTATTTTTACGAATGAAAAAGATGGCGCAGTTACGAGATTGGGTCTTTTCAATCGATCCATGTTCTTCATTACATCAACTGTGTGCATAGATTCAAATTAAATTTTGATGCAAGTCATCGGTTTATGACCAAGTGAGAACGGACATGAGCAAGTCAAATCGATGCAGAGGTCAAAGGTCACAAAATCCCTACTTGGATTGGGCCAAGGAGGAAGGGCTTGAAATTATTGCAGTGGGTCGGGAGTGGTAATCACAATTGGACCACAACAGCGCAAGGTTAGCCCCAAACAAGATCGCTTGATCCGGTTGGTAGTAGTTGTTTTAGCAAATTATGACGCGAAAGCCGCATTTATCGAATATCAGATAAATTAGACTAGATGTAAATTTGAACTCGTCTGATATATGCTGTAAGATCCAGGTAGACCATAGTCTCTCGGTCGTTCCGATGTACTAATAACTATCGCGAATAGGTTGAAGAAAGTAAACTCAACGACAGATGACGAATCAGTCCAAAATGGATCGCCGGAGCATCCGCCTCGTGTTGGACAGTATTGCCAGAAATGCAGCATTTGTTTCCCGCACGCACGCACATTGATATAAAGTGGATTTCTTATTTATTCGTTTAATACCGTTTGAAAGCTTGAAATCAGAAAGACGCCTTCCTTCGATATGCTAATCTTTCATCTCAAAACTATTTGTATTATTCATTGAACTCCCTTGACTATCAGTATTCCCTGAGTGTAGTAGTTATCTTGGGAAAACTTATTTATTTCCTCGTTGAGCAGGTCAACCGAATTCGGAACAACGACAGCATAAGTGAAAATATCGTCTCTATCCTGTCAGCATGTGAATTGCAAATCTTGTGATCCGGCCACAAATGCTTGATGTTTAAAATTTCGGAAGAACCGTTCACTGTAAACCTGCACCTCCAATGTTGCTCTCTGACTGATTGTCGTATGTTATGAATTGTTTTTTGTATGTGTATCCAGCATGGCGGTCGAACACGGTGTGCATTCTAGACACCAATGGTCACAGTGTTCTGAAATTCTATTCACATTTGTGAGTAGTTTTCACGCAAGAAGAAGCGGTTGTTGGATTCACATGGAATCCGTGAGTGGATTAAAGGACTGACTGTTGTAACTACAAGAGANACGAATAGACTGTCGGGATGGCAGTCATCAGCGACGAGACGATCACAGCAATACCAACTAATTGTTGCAAATTAGATGTTTCGTTCTATGTAATTTTATTCACGTTGTCTGATGCCGTTCTTCAAATAAATAATATTCCTCGTCCCGGCAGTCCTATAAATTTATACTAATGGTAATGTGTCCTAGTAGTGTAACGCTGTGTCCGTTGGACATATGAAACAGGAACAATATGAACATCAGTTTTACTAGGAAAGGCATTGATGTCCCGGGGCGAGACAACCAATAATGTGATGTGTCTATGTGTGTAAGAGTGAACCCTCAAGTTTCCTGATTTAGTGGACAAAATTGAATGAGTTCCGTCGAGAGCATTTAGCAATAAGGCGTATGAAGTCTTGGCACAGGACTTGATAGATTCAAAGCAGACGGGTTCCAATTGGTTCCGGTTTCGAACGTCACGAACAGTGATGAATGGTATTTCGTTTAGAATGATGTTCCATTTTTTGTGCGCAAAATCAATATGATGAAAAACGTTTCGCCTGTGTGGTTGGAGAATAAAATATGATCAGGGTGTGATTTTTCTTACAAACTCAACATGCCACGCTCAATATCATTCAGGTGAGTTAGCGTGTGCCCCCGCGGCGGGTCTCAACTTAGAAGATATGTAACAAAAATTTGATCGCTTTTTAAGTGACGGCGGTCAATGTGCAGTAGTCAAAACATCTAGACAATGTACCATCACATGTGGACTCAATATCAACCACTGAAACTAGCCCTGCATAAGCCGGAGGTTCTGTGAAGATCCCGAAATCCTGCATGTCCTGATTCGAACTATCCCAGTTGGAGTGAGTGCTTATTTCATTATCACTATTGTTTGATGAACAGGGGAATTGGGAATAATTTCATGATTCCACAGACCAACTGTTCCCACATGAAAACAGCCCTTCTCATCTCTGGGATCTAAGGAGTGACGTAACACATTAGATTCCAATTGGAGGACAACTAAGTTGGGTGTCGGTAGTAAACTTCGAATATCTGAGCTCGGGGAGTTAGAAGATGGTCAGTAAAAACTACTTACGCGGCTTGACTATCACTAAACCACACCGTACTGCATGGCTGAAAGAGCTGTAAAATGTTGTCCGTAGCTTTCGCCTGGTTTGTATGATAGCGGGACATTAAATAAAACGGTTCAACGGACTTGAATACCATCTTCTCTTAGCTTATCCCTCTCTCACTCTATCTCGCTATTTGTTTCGGTTATACGGAAATTTGGGGTCTCCTTTAAAGTTATCCCTTGCCTCTTTTTAAGAAAGTTAAGTGCTAAACATACGCTTTATGTGCTTTTAATGGACTATCAAAATTTGACCCATGTTTAATCATGTTCGAATAAAAAATTTCAACTTCATTGGCCACTGACAGTCACGCACGTGCGCATGAAGGCTACATTTGCAGAGGTTTTTAGGTGAGCAGCGCTACTCGATGTGATCTATAGTGCAGACAGTTAGTTCAGTCTACCTATGCGCATCTAATCACGGTCAAACGAAATGTTCGCTGAGTTCAGTCTTATCTTCCACCCCCCGAAAAATATTTTGTTAGTTCACGACATTCACATTTGCGTTTCCTCAACTTAATTACCGGTTTCCCCGGGACCGATAGTACGATGAACCTGATCTTAAAATTGTGAAATAAAACACTGCTCACTGAAATCACAAACTGGCGGTACATTCGAAGGAAATCACCAAGCAAACATATATAGGTATATAAACATTCGACCCACCGATTCAGTGTGTGTGTATGAGTGTATATCCTTCTATTATATGCCTAACCTGAGGAAGAGACTGGAAAATGTCTTGTTTAAAACATGTCTCGAAACACACTTAGCCAACTTGGTGCATCTAATGTATCATTCAAATGCATGTGCTCAGTGGATGCACGCAAGCAGAAATAGGCAGACCACATATTTTGTGACCCCGGTCAACCTCTTCACTCATTCCATGCGGACACCAGTATCCGTTCACCTTTGAAAACCGATGCAATCGAAAAATTTCCCAGCACTGTATCGAGCCGAAATAGATACACACACA